CTCTCTCTCTCTCTCTCCACTCTTCTTGGGGGAGCACATCCACAACATTAAAGTGACAGCTCATATTCTCGTCACTTCCCTGAAGGTTTGTGAAGTCTGTTATAATTATGCCAGCAAAACTTGTTCCAACGTTCACCTCATGGATTCACGCCCTGAACACGGGCAGCAGCCACAGTCAGAGAAAGGACACCATGTGCCCCAGGAAGCCATGATAACACTTTGCATCACTTTGTTCTGATCTTAACTTTACTCTCATGTGCCATGCAGTTGACACACTTAATGTTATCTCTGGTATTCACACTTTTTTTTTTTTGTTTCTTTAGACTTCACCCAAAAAAAAAAAAGAATCATCATGTTCTGATTATCTGAATTTTTTTAGGAAAAACAGGATCTATAGTAATACTAAATGTTCAGAAACTTTTCTATTATTTCTAAAAACAAAACAGTATCTTCTACTTTCATTGTGTAATTAAACAAGAGTATATTTTGTTAATAAAATATTTCTATAATATATCTATTTTAATATTCTCATCTCCGCTATATCGAATTTTCTTTTTTTTTTCCAACCATCCAATGTTCTTTTCCCTTTATTGTAGTAAAGAGATTCTTGCAAAAAAAAAAAAAACATACATTTTAATAATAAATCTATCAACTACAACATGTCCTCATGTCACTCAAATCAAAGCATGAAAGAGAGAACTCCGAAGACCGGCAACTACACCCAACTTAAAACGATGGAGACAAGAGAAGACTCTCGTTTCTCCTAAGTATCACCCTGCGGGTCTTCTCTTTCCATCTGCAAATGGATCTTTTTCATTATCCTCATTTGTACAGGGAATGGGTCTCACCGAGTCTGATGAAATGAAAAGGTGCTTGTGGATGGTATGTGTGGGAAATGATAATAGACTCATGGAGCACATTCCGAAGAGCGTAGAAAAGAGGGAGCACCTCATCTATTTACCATAACGCCATCGAGCAACCAGCGACAGCGAATCAAAGGTTCTCACAGCGCATGGAAAACCAGACCAGAAATAACGAGGAGTAGGCGAAAAAAATGTACAATAAATTACATTGCCAATTCTAAGCAATAAAAAGAAAAAAAAAAACGAGTAGGAAAAAGAAGACGACGATCTCCGACGATCATGTCCACCTCACATCGGCTGCGAACCTGCGGCGGAGAGGATGTTGGCAATGGTGCTCATGGCCCGCACCTGCATCTCGAGCGCGGCGATGTAGTCCGACGCCTCCTCCAGGATCGTCGCCAAAGGCAGCTTCCGGCAGCCGGGAACCAGCCGGCCCAGAACCCTCGCCTTCCGCTCCAGCGCCTGCGGCTTCGTCTTTTCCGCCGGACGGGAGGCGAAGACGGTGGCGACGCCGCCGAGGGACTTCGGCCCGCCAGCCCGCGCCAGCGCCCGAACCCTGAGCTTGAGCGTCCGGCCGGAGAGGATCGCGCGGCTCCAGCGCGTCTGACCTCGCGCCGCCAGCGCCAGAGCCCGGTCCGCCGCCGCCCGGACAGCGCGGCTGCGCGAGTGATCCGTCGACGCCGCCGGGGAGGACCGGCGGACGCGGCGGAGGGCCTCGACGAGCTTGGAGGAATAGGTTTTCTGCTCGCCCTGCGTCCTCCACTTGGCCAGCGGCTTCTCCGCCCCGCGCTTCCGCTTCCTCTCCCCTCCTCCCTCCTTAGCGGCGGCGGTTTCCCGCTCCGCGTTCGAAATCGCCATCACAAATCTCACAAACCACCTCGATCTCCAACCACTCCAAATCGCCTGCTACGAAAGCGATCGAATCAGTCAAAAAAAGCCCGATACCATCGCCAAATGGTTCCGAGATCGAGATGAAGACGAACAGGAAAAGAAATAATCGAGATTACGAGATCGCATCTGTGTTCATACCTCGCCAAATTCGATCCAAGAGAGGGAGAAATGCGAGAGATTTTGGAGCGGTCGGTAATCGATCGAAGGGAATGGGTTGTTTCGGAGAGGAAAGCCAAGGATCTCTTAAAGAGGAAGGAAGCAGTGGTAATATATCCCTTACCATGACAACCGTCAGCTTCCATATTTAATCCGCTGAGGCATGCCTTCTCGCAACTCTCTTTTCCCCCCCTTCCATATTGACCATTTTGCCCTCGCGTCCCACCGATTTAAGGCTTTTGGGGCTATCTAATTTAACCCGCTATTATCGTCTCGAAGGTCAAATCAGCGGCGAAGGGCCCCAGTACAAGGCTCCCTCGGACGGATTTGCCCTCAACAAATGACGATCGTTGTCATCAGGGTTTCGACGGCTGTGATGAGGTCTACCCATCTCAATGATAAGTGCACGTGGGGCGGTCACTTTGCGTAACTGGAGTTAAAGTTGACCGCCACGGGGGAGAGGAGAGGAGACGACATCCTTTTTCTTAAGTTGGGGTGTCGCGCTGGGCGGTGAGATGTTTGGTTCGGAAAGCAGGAGGGAGTTGCAACATCTGTGAGGGTTTTATTAATAGAAAACATCTCTGAAAACAGAAACAAATCAATTGATTTAAATTTGTGGGTTCGAAAGTGGGTTTGGACGGATGGACGAGTTGTTGACACGTTATCCTATCTGGTTAGTCCCATATGTTATCGAATGATCATCCAACTCGATACGAACCTCGCTCGGCCTCGGATGATTGCAGCAACCTCTCGACGTCAGCATAAATGGTTGAATCGTAACTGTAATTGACATACATCTTCATGATTAAATAATAACCATTCTAATCATCTTGAAATCAATTCTTGTTTCAATTTAATGATTATCTCTGACTAAATATATCACGACGAGTTCGAAAGTTAAAACATTTTTTTTTGTTTTGTATGCTTCAATTTATGAAGTGGATTAACTTCATGTTTCTCCTATAGCATATCAGCTATTGGTTCAATTCTATATAATTAGAGCTACTTACGAGAGAATCATACGAGAAAAAAATAAATATCAATCTCAAGCCTATATAATTAGAGTTATGTACTAGAGAATCATATGCGAAAGAATTAGACATCGATCTCATGTCGAATTATCATGGTCAAACATTCCATTTAGAGTGGATTGACTTCACGCTTCTCTTGTAGCATAACAACTATTGGTTCTAATAATTACTAGATTACAATCCTACAATCTGTATATCTCAGCTCTGTATAATTAGAGTTATGTATGAGAAAGAATTAGGCATCTATTTTAAGTCTATTTCTTATGATCGAATATTCTATTTGAAGGATTGATTTCATGCCTCTCTTATAGCATAACAATTATTGGTTCTAATGATTACTCCATTGTAATCGTATGATCTGTATATCTTAAGCCTATATAATTATAGTTATATATGAGAAAACTATGCAAGAAAGAATTAGATATCCATCTCAAGCCTACATTCTATTTGAAGTGGATTGATTTGATGTTTCTGTTATAGCATAACATCTTTTAGGTTCAATCGTTGCTTCATTATAATCTAATGATCTGTATCTCATATCTGTATAATTAAAATTATGTATGAGAAAATCATACGAGAAAGAATTAGACATTCATCTAAAATATTTAGATTTTATATCTTTATCAATTTTTTTGTCCTAATCCATCATAAATTATTTGGAGAGTAATATAGCCCCACAAGAAAAGCAATAATCGCAGGCATGATGGTGTGAAATATTTAATATTTTTAATATTTTCATAAACAACATCACTAACTCAAAGCAAAAGATCATTATAAAAAAAAGGCTTATAAAGTCAACCAAATGTGTTTATGACATCAAGGGTATTGTATTTTATTTTTAATAAAATCCACATGATATTAATTCGAAGAGGCGAAATCTAAATATTATCATTGAGGTTTTGAGAAATATAGTTACTTAAAAAACTTATCAAATAAACTAGGATGAAAAGAATAAAACAAAGAGCAGTGACCTTTCTACCATATTAATCAAAGTAAGTCATTTACTTACAGAAAATTTGTGTAGCTAAGGCTCTTATAAAAAAATCATGTTCATGCCATTTTCAATGCATTTTCTAATACCATCTTTGATGTGATCTGTGAAAGGACGAAAAGCTTATCCACGATCAAGTGGATCCATTTTTTTCTTTTAATTTATTTTTCCTAATGTTCCAGAGATCTATCTTGCCATATTTTGCAAGTAGAATTAGAATACATAGCAGGGTTCTATCACTTATTCCAATATAGAAGAGGACACAACCTACAGCTCCTCCCTATATTATGCAACCACACTTAAGACAACCATGCTATCATTGCCTCCCATTACGCAATGAATATTAAGTAGACAAAAAGTTAAACAAATCTGCTGTCCCAACCAAAAATAATAATAATAATGACCTACAGGCAAACAAAGTACCCGAAAGATTTGGACACTCTTTCTTATTACCAGTTGATTATTTGTGTGGAGTAAATTAGAATATTTATATGGAGTCAAATAAGGTCATGAATTTCGTTTTTTTTGGTGGCCTCCTGCCAGAAGAAATGATCAATACCCAGCTAACTTTTCTTTTTATATGCAACAAAATTTTCTTTCTTTGCTAACTATGTTTAGTCTTTTCTTTATTAACCTGCTAAGAACTTCTCTTAATGAAAGGTAACATTTAGTCTCTTGGTTAACTTTATCAGGATGGAAATACATCAAGATGGGTTTCAACAAGTTGAGGATTTAATAACTAAGCATCAAGTCTCAGAAAAGAAATTAAAAGAAACCAGCTTGCAAAAATGGCAAAAGCATCATTTGGCTGTTCTATCCTTATCCTTATCAGAACAAAATTAATATAATCTAAGATCATCATTTAATGACAAGTAACATCTCAGTTGGCTGTTCTATCTGGGAGTGTCTTCCACTGGTGGAATCAAGTCTCTTTTCTTTCCAATCTTTTCAACGATTAGCTAGTGATGTGAATGTCTAAAATAAATGCAACTGAAGCATAAAATCCCATGTAATGATCTCCATGACATGCTTTTTCTTTATCCTCTTACATCATCATGTTTCAATTTTGCCTGTCCCTGCTGAATTGTATATTTAATTTCCCTTTTGTTTCTTTTTTTTTTGTTGCAAAGAACGTATTCTAACACAAATTTTTGGGTGTATTCTTGCTTTTCAGGAGTAGAGAGGATTACTCCACATTGCCCACATCCACAGAAGAAGGAATCTAAATTCCCTTCTGTACTTGGCGTTATAAACTACTTCAATTATACACAAAATAGCATATAGGCAATCTATCAAGGATCAATTCACATGCTATAATAGAAAATGACCAAGTGGGTTTTTCACACCTTTCTTTTCCCTTCAATTCTCACATTTTATTTTCTAACAAAGTCATTTTGATGCTCCAAAATCCTAAAAAGTATGTTGAGCATATAAGACCAAGTCCGTGCCACTAAAACATAAGAAATATGTGCATACATTTGTTCAAATATATTATACATACATACATACATACATACATACATACATATATATATATATATATAAATATATATATATATATATATACATATATATATATGTATATATATGTATATATATACATACATATATATGTATATATATGTATGTATATATATACATATATATATTTATATATATATATATGTATATATATACATA